GACTGAGTAGAAAACATTGACTTTGGTAATTTAGATTTGCCTTGAGAGTGCAGTTTTCTAATTTTTATGCTTTATGCCTTTACAGATGTTAGAGAAAATGTACTGAATTCTCAAACATTAATTATTGCTTTTGTATAAAGAGAATACGACCAGTATAAAACTGCTACCATAACCATAATAACTCATGATTTCATATGACATTATATCATTATCAGTTATTGGTTTACTGATAATCATTGTAATCAAAGCTTAATTAGATATCAGTTTACTTAGATCTTCATGTACAAAATACCAGAAACAAATTAGTTGATATAAATGAAAGTGAGAGAAGGACATGATCGCAGTTGGTCATAAATACCGTTTTGATATTAAAAGTATTTAATGGAGAACAATGGAAGATAACATAATGATTCGAAGTCAGATGCCAATGTTTCCAGTGCCAAAGTAAAACAGACTAAAGTATTGAAAATGCCTTTTTGAAATTGCCATGCATGTGCATGTATATTATAAACCTTGTTCATTACATTGTAAATTTACATATTAATTTGTTGTTGAACTATCATATTTTTGTATATAAAGATCACATTGATTTAGCTGATGCTAAACCCAACAGTCTATTTACTTCGCTCTCATTTTGTCCATTTTTAGAATCCCATATTACATACACCCTAAATATAACTATTGCAAAATGCAATATATCTCTATACAACCCCTGTATGGGAAAAATAGATAGATAGAAATGGTTTATTAAAAGATCATCACAGCCAATGGCTGAATGAATTGCGATCCATTTCACAAAGATACAATACAATTGCAATTCAAATTGAAATAACACAAAATATCAAATAAATACAAAAATCAAACATAATACATTTCATAAAAATTCATTGATCAAATTCAAATTTTTGTTAAACAAGAAAGAGAAAGGGAGAGATTTAGAAGAGGGAGAGTTAGAGTGATGAGAGAGAGAGAGAGAGAGAGAGGCAGACAAAGGGTACCTTTATCATTACAGATGAGTGGAGATGGCAGGAAACATTCAGCAATGCACAAAATCAAGATAAAAAATATCAAAAGTCATTCACATAGTTCAATCATGGACTATGAAATTCCAAAAATACAATTTATATTGGTATTACATGTAAAGTAAGGAAGAGAGCTGCACTGGAAGCATTTTGTTTTACATTATTTATTTGGTATTGTTTAAACTTTGAGATCTTAGAGAATAAGTGCTTTGTTGCCTAAGAGGTAAAAAATTCTTTAAATTGTGGGTGTTTGGCAAGTGCATTGGCAAAGTCTATACATAACTGCTCACGTCTTGCTTCTAATGAACGTAGATTGCATGACGTTTCCAATGCTACTTCATAACTTTCATACTGACGTCCTAAAATGATTTTGAAAGCTCGTTTCTAAAAACGTTCTAAAGTATATACATGATTTTTTTATTAAATTACCATTGAAAACCGGTACCCCATAATCTAAAATCGAACGAATGTATTCTTTATATATTCGTACAAGGTCATCTAGAGGCAATCCAGCTGATAGTTGTGCGAAAGAAAACCCTATTAAAAAAACTCCCTATATTATATACAAAAATACAACTACAAAATTCATACAGCGTAGGTAACATAAAATTATAGCTTGAGTAATTATGCAAATATGTGGAATATTTAGAATTGGGTGTTTGCCAGAAAGCTTTATGGAATTATTAGTGTGTAGAAGAATTGTGAATGGAAATTGTAAAGGCGTGTTCACTGATCACACAACATAACTCTCTTTTTAATTTAACTACGAGGAAACAAGGTTGCACTGGCAATAAAATACATGATAAAAAATATTCCCTTTTCGTTATTTTATTGAAGAATAAATATGATAGACTAACACTTGCAAGTGAAGTCAGTCAGGCGAATAAATGATTCTGAATGTGAATCACAATAGGATCGTGGATATTGCACGGAGTTTAAATGGTCATGTATGAGATGGACATGAATAAATCAAATGCGATGAATAAATAGAGCTTATACGACAATGGTATAAATGACGTCGAAAGTCCATGAAGATGATGACGGGTGAAACGAAGAAAGGGGCTCACGCGATGATTGTGCGGAGGCTTGATGATGGAAACGCGACTTCGTTGACGTGGCTGAAGAGCCGAGAAGAACGCGATGTCGATGCCGACGCTCATGATGATGATGAATGTAGCGCTCGGGCGAGAAGAGAAGAGAAGAGAAGAGAAGAAATGTGGCGCTCGACGACGAGGCAGTGAGTCGCTCGATGTCGGAGGCCCAGGTTGAAATGTTGACATCAAAGCCGGTATAGTGGTGATCGTGAAGAGCAGTGAGTCGCTCGATGCTGGATCGATGAGCCGGACTTTGAAGTGAAATCATCAGAGTTGCAGTGAGATGGACTCATTGATGAAAGTTCAGGCGAGCTACAGTGAATCGAGCTCGTGTGTGAAGAAGAAGCTACCGGAACGAAGAAGCTAGCAGCTCCCAGCGGAGAATCAGGAGCCATGTCGGTTCCTGATTTAGACGTTCCACTGCAAGACTGCCAGTCCTTTGAAGACGGCAGGATAAAGAGTTGATGTGCCATACAAGAGGTGATAGGCATGGAAGAGAATTCTCCAATTGAAATGCAGGAGGTTAGAATTGTAGAAGGATTTGCTCCTTGTGTATGCATGAAGCAAATTGTGATAGAGGCGACATTCTCAAATCGACGTGTTACTTCGATGAAGAACTTTGAGAAGTGTCGTAGTGAAGAAAGTTAGAGAGAAGATGTTGTTTTCATCCTTCTTGGGAGGCAGGATAAAACAAAGAGAGTTCTATACTAAATTCTGGGAAGGGAGAATGAGTCACTGGTGATTACCAGGTACAGGGACATTGAAGCCATTATGCTGACACTTGTTGATAAATATATAGGGGCAGTGCCTGGCATAATGTCAGAGGGCAATGTCCTCCCAAATTGGGTTTGCAAAATAACAAATGACATTAAGAAATGAAAAAGGATGAAATGAGGAAAATACTACAGCTTCATGATACCTCCCGAAACAAAACCATTAACCACGCTCCTTCTTGATAGGCCAGCTTTAGATTCCTACCTATGAAGTTACAGAAAGGAGCTTCTAAAATCGTGCCATAACTTTCTAGCGAACTTGCTATTCTATAAAGCAATAAAATTAATGAGAATGGATTCGATTTTTTTGATCGACACAAAAAAATGAAACCTTCATCTCTGTTTTTCTTGAAATACATAAGCTGAAGAGAAGAATAAAAATAAAGTTTTCTAAAAAAAGGAAATGATTTTTCAGCTATGCATCACGAAGATACTCATTTAAAGGTGAAGTCAACCCTGGTCATTATTAAGTTGGTTTTAATAAAAGGGCAAAATGAGAGAAACGGTAAGTGAAAGTTTAGCTAAAACCTATATTAAAAAATAAGAAAGTTAAAAGTTTGTTTTTTAAGAGCGATCATTCAAATACAAATTGGCAACTCTGCAACATATCTTGCGAGGTCGATCCCCTACTTTTTTGGCTCGTACTAAAAAAGTTATATTTCTCTTTAAGTTTAGGAAACTTCACTCATACATTCACCATTCAAATTAATATTGCAAATTATGTCTCTATACAACCCCTGTATGGAAAAATATAGTGCGTCATTAACGAAGTAATTAAAAGTTCATGAAATTTAATATAGGCCTACCCAGCAAATTTGAGAGGAGCTCGCATGATACGTCACAGTCTTGCCAATTTACGTTTGCTTGATCGCAACTTCAAAAATTCATCACTTTATTGTTTTAATCGGTATTTGCTCAAACTTTCGCTGAGCTGTTCCTCTCATTTTCTGCTTCTATTCAAACAAACTCACTATCAGGGTAGACTTCCCCTTTAAACATTTTCGATAACATATATTACTCTCCATCCACATTTATTATTAAAAGTTTGAAAACCTTTTCTGGGGACGTTCTTTGTAATTATGTACTGACGGAATAGAAATAGTGCAACCCTATAAATGGGCAGCTATAAAAACATTGATAAACATTCATATTTGAACGTGTCATTACTGAAAGTATGCCCTTTAAAGGCCTTTTTCAACAAAATGATCGATTAGCAGTGACTGTTGTTTTCTTAATTGACAATGATTGTAATCCTCAATTCACAGCCCCTAGAAGAACAGGCTATAGTAGCCTACTCATGATGCTCTTTTTTTTCATCAGTGCTGTCCCAGATGGAATAAGAAGTGTTCATACGATTCTCTATAGAGGCTGGTACTTGGTAGTTAAACAATTCAATATCTGTTGCTAGTCGTTTGTACAGTGATTCTAATTGTAAAGAACTAAGTTGCGAGTAGTACTTGTCAAAAATTGCTGAGCGACTGCTGTTAGTTGGGTTTGAGGGCTCGGGAATCATTATATTGTCACCTTTGGTGATTTGCTGCATACTATCACGAAAATCTTCTTTGAAGGTTTCAAAATGGCCGATATAATCGTATGGAACTTGGCACGGTGAGCACAGACGAAACATTTCCCTCCAGTGTTCTTCGGCAGGATCGCCGAGCACATTCCAGGGGTCGCTGACGTAATCAACGAAATTACCAAAAGTAACGTTGATGTTCTTATCCTTTGTTTTTCCCGAGTTTTTAGATTTTTTGACCATACGGGGAGCATAATGATTTTTGATGGGATTATTCACTTCAAATTTATCGCGAAATGCTGACAAGATCCGAGAAAACGGCTCGCGAACAAATACAAATTTACTGTAATTTGTTAATCTCTCTTGTGCATCTTTCAGGTTAAATGTACGCAATGTTGGTATGTGTTCGAAGGCCATATAATGAACGGCCTCGTGACTTATATCTTCTGTTGCATTGATATTCCCATTTAGCAGGAGGAGCATACGCTTCCAAGTTGTGCAACCAGTTTTAGGCACGTAACAGAAAATAGTTTTGTACTTGTCTAGTACAAAGATGTTACCCGCTTTTTTCAATGTGTCTGCGTCCAGCCTATCAACGATTTCTGAATATTTCTTGGCGCCTAAACGCTCACAAGTCTCGCGTAGATGTGAACGTCTTTTATGTTGAATATCTTCTACAGAGAGAGAACCAGGCATCTATGTATGAAACAGAAGATAACGATGACATGAGAAAACAATTGCCAAGTAAAGAACTTTATAAAAGTAGCATAATCAATTGAACTTCATTATGGTCTTGTCAATATTTGTATATCGTGGGCTGCAGGCGAAATTTTGTCTGGTAATCATTACATTATGTTTTTTGTTGATATCATTGTAACCTTTTTTTAGAAAACAAATCGAACAACAAGCCATAATGTGTAACAGTAACTCAATGCAATTGTTATTTGTTTGCTTTACTAGAAAGAACGTAGTCTTTGTCGTATTATACTAGTCAATCTAAACAAAAGGTGATACTTTTAGCGGAACGGAGATGCAGGATGTTTAAAAAAAAAACCGTGTTTTTCACGTCATTCTCCATAAGACATTTTTTGCTAATAAAACAAGCACTGTTCAGTGACCCAAACGTTTTGATATGTATAACATTGAGCGGGATTTGTATATGCATAATATAAACGGATACAAATTTGTAAACATATAGATTTTATACTCACTTTTGTATTTTTATTCTTGGGAACATTACGCATCGTTGATGGCTCATAACGATTTCTTAGATAAGAAATGTTGTCAGAAAATCCTACCGTGTCTGTAATAACGAAAAGAAGAAAAAAAATCGAATAATGTAATATCAGACATGTACTATCATGTGCATGTAAGTATCACCAAGTTGGAAACATAGTACATCATTAAAGTAGAGAATTGTTTGATATAATCATTGAATAAAAGGATGGATGATGTACAATGTAAGCTGCAATATTCCTCAAACAGTGGTGTTTAAAATGCGAAGCGCATAGCACCTGAATAAATGATCGTATTAAACAAAATGAAACTGCAATTGCTATCGACAGAAATAAAACATTTGTGTGTAAATTGTATAAAGAAAATGTCTGAAGCATACGGGCCCATTAAATCTCCCAACAAACTGATTACTTGAACCAAGGCCACTGAACACCGCCCCCCCCCCCCCCTCCCCTCAGTGTGATTTGGGGTACGCGTATGCATGTTCCCTCCTCTTGAAAACACCCCCTAAGTCCGGTGTGTAAAGTCAATACGGGCCGTATTTTTGTTTACTATACGAGGCCGGACTTTTGTGCGCGAAAAGTACCTCTTTACCGGACATTTTGGGAACACGCATGCGGTCCCTCCGACCTAGTCCATAATCTGCACGTTCCTTTATAATTTCCCTACACTTGATTCAAGCCGTCGAAGATGGCGTTATCAACAAACTCATAATTATGCTCACCAGCCCAGCCTGAGGTCGGGCGTCTCAATTTAATGATCACGCCATCATCGGCTGGTAGCAAGTAAGTAGGGAGAGGTTAGCGTTGGTGTGGTGGAGATCAAAATTAAATAGGCCAGATTCTGGACTACCTCCGACCCCGAAGTGGAGGGGCAGGCGCGGATCTACGGGGGGGGGGGGGGTTTAGGGGGTTTAAACCCCCCCCCCCCCCCCTTGGGCGGCCCAAAAAAAAAAAAAAAAAAAAAAAAAAAAGGGAAAAAAAAGAAAAAAGAAAGAAAAAAAGAAAGAAAAAAGAACGCACGCTGGAGAGAAACCCTTTCAAGTGCAAATATTGTGAGAAGATATTCAACTCATCTGGTAACTTAACCAAACACATGATAACTCTGGATATAACTGTGTATTAAACTGTTACTTGATTTAAAAAGACGGTATCATGCACTGCTTTTTATGGTCTCCATTGTGTTAATAGATGCCAGGAAAACATCCCTTACGGGGTTCAAATAAACACCCAAAAAAAAATCGGCTCGCCGCTTCGCGGCTCGTGGACGATGCTCCGCATCGTCATTATTTTGGTCAAACCCCCCCCTTAGCAAAAAGCTAGATCCGCCCCTGAGGGGATGGGGGCGGGGGCCGGGATACAGTTAGTTCACTATTTCATATGCCTCGTATCGTAGGATCCAAATCTTTATGGAGAACAATAGTTCTGAGATAAAACAAAATTAAAAAAGGCTGATATTCTGTCACAACAGTACTCACAAGACTATTATTCGCATCTCTTTCCAACACACACAAGTAAAAAAAACCAGGATTCAACAATGTCATTAAAATGTTTTCGGTCAATATTACGGGTTTAAAAAAACAATGTATGCACAGATCACCATCGTATTATTCACTTTGTGAAAAAAAAACTAAATGTTTACTGATTTTACAAAATAATGGCTCGATGGGCAAGTCCAAACTACTTTTCCTACCACATCGTAAATGATTGATCTACATTTCCCACACTCTACCCAGGTGAAGTAAATGGGGATCTGGTTGGAATTTATTCCTTGAAACGCAGCGCGTAACAGCTGCACTGCTAAAGCCAGGGTAATTATGCTGGATTAGTCTTGTTCAGACGGAGAAAAGTTACCCTATATGGTAAAGGTCGTGTTAAGAGCTAGTCGAGGTAAATATGGCGGGGTATATGGCGGGCCAAGCATGCCACTATCCGTACAACTATACAACTATACGACTATACGTCTATAGCCGGCCAATCAGAAAGCAGGAAACTCCACATCTATGCCAGTGGCGGATTCAGGAGGCACAGGGGGCACGTGTGCCCCCCCCCCCCCCCGGTAAAAAAAAAAGGGGGGGGGAAGAAAAAGGGAGAAAATGAGAAAAAGGAGGGGGAAAGAAAAAGGAGGGGAAAAAGAAAAAAACGGAAGAGAGAAATAAGAAGAAAAGATGGAGGAGAGGAAATGGAAGAGGAGGAAAAGGAGGGGAAAGAGAGAAAGGGGAAGAGAGAGAGAGAGAGGAGAGAAAAGGCGGATAAGGAAGAAAGGGGGAAAGACGGAGAAGAGAAAAGGAGAATAATGAGAAGGGGAAAAAAAGAATGGAGGTATGATATTATAAGAAGGTTTCTTTTTTGGGAGCTTTTTTTTTATTTGAACGCATGCTTACGCGAACGTTATGACGCGTGCGCGAACATTACTTGACCTAAAGTTTATGTGTACCAAATTTGGTTCAGGTTTGATGGCTGGTCATAAAGATAATTATGATCGATAATATGATTTTACAAAATGGCGCCTAGATGAGTGATCATACTGAGAGGGAGGTATATATTCCTGGGCATCAGGAATTAGTGGTGCAAATTTGATGGTGAACGGGTGGTGCGTTTTTTAAGAAAACTGGCAGACAAGAAAGTAAAGAATGCAAGGATAAATAAATAATTGAACAAATATTTTTAAAATCGAAATTAATTTTTAGTTGATAAAACACCCCCTGATCTCCTTGACTGTACAGTATTGGATGATTTCTTTGTACAAGAAGGGAGAGGACGCAGGATTGGGAATTAATTTCATTTTGCATTAAATGCGGCGTTCTTTCCCCTCTACGATGATCATGAGCACTAACACTATTATTAATGAGTAGGAACGCTTACAGAGTGAGACATATTCTCATGAGACGGTGAGATGTGTGAACAGTTTCTGGTTTATTGAGTAGGTGTATGGCTAATTTGGTTCCTTTGGTGACTGTTTTGATGCATGGCTTTAAACTGGCTAGAGAATTGTTTTGAGTGTGCAGGATAATTGGAGAAGCGAGGAGGTAAAGGATGCTTCCTCCCTAGCTGACAGGACTAGTTTGTATATAAGAGACTTCATGTACGATTCCCACCCGCTTATTCATGTAATGTTCTCCCTTTGAATCAATAATAAGAACACCAATGAATAAGATGAATACCACTACTGTTACCACCACTATTGCTACTACGAATAATAGTAACAACAATGATAATGAAGATGAATACCACTACTTCTACCGCCACTCAAGAATTAAAAACGGCTGGAATGCTCTATTCAGAGCCATTATCAAAATGGCTCTGTTCTTCCTAGAGGTCCAGAATAAATAATTAAACATAGAAATAAAATACAAAATATTACGAAAATATTACATTACATACGCACTATCTAACCCCCCACCCCAAACCCTCTATGTCACATTATGAATACGACTGTTACCATCCCTCCCCCTCCCCGTTCACACCAAAAGTTTACACTATATAATACAACTCCTACTACCACTGTGGCACTACTACTACTACTACTACTACTACTACTACTCTTACTAATTCTACTATTACTACTACTATTCCTTCTACTACTACTACTCTTACTAATTACTAATGAAAATCAGACCATAAATTTACTAAAATGATTGCAATCACTAAAGTCGATTCGAAGACTAACGGTCGTTATTTTCCTCAAAAAGACATTTTCAAGCCCTTTCGTTTTGAGGGAAGTTCTAATTTTATTATTATTATCTTTCAAATGCCAGTGGAATTTAACTTTTTCATTTTTTGGGCCTGTAAATGGGACATAGTATCTTTAAGACAAGTTTTTAATTGGTTGACAGTCTGACAGTTTTTTGACATGAAAAAGTAGTTTGTTCCAAAGTTCAGCAGAAGCTTTGCAAAGAGAGCGATGACTATAAGAGAGAGTTTACACCGAAGTAGACACGAGGTTTAATTGTGAAGATGACCGTAGATTGCGTGAGGGTTTGTATTCCGGAATAAGTTGTGATTGGTTAGTAAGGATTGTGCTTGGTTTGATGGTGATTGGGCGACTAATAAAAGGACTGTGTTGTGATTGGTCTATGCGTGTGGTGCATTGGACGCAGGGTATAGAGGAAAGCTAGCAACATAATCAGCACTAGGGCTACAATCCGGTCCTTGAAGAGCACCTATACCACATACCACACGTACCACGGCATCACTGTAATAACCACGATGATCACTTGCTCATCGAGGGGGGGGGGGGTCAAAATGCCCCTCAGTCAGAGGGTCCTTTCTGAGGGTTTGCGTCATATCACCATTATGGAACAATATTATATCCGCACTCATGTTCACACGTTGAACAGTGGAAAACACAAAAATAACCGATAAAATAGACATCTGGTTGGGAACCCTTTGTTGCTTGAAGGCTATCCTTGGGCCAAGCTCGCTATCGATTAGGACCGCTATTCATTTCATTTCATTTCAATTATTTGTTTTAATCTCTTTCAGCCTAAACGGCTGTTTTTCAGAAAGTCCGTGTTAACTGAATAAAACATATTAACATTACATTATAAACAAAAGCCAGTAACAAAAGATAACAAAACATACGCAAAATAAACGAATCAAATCATAACAAAGGATAAAACATAAGGACCGCTATCCATAGCGCGCATCAAAATAAATAGCGATCCTAAGGGGTAGGCCTACTATCTCACTGAGCGGTGAATGCCAACGAACGTTGCGAATTTGGATTCGCCAACTTTTATGTCGAATGATTGCAAAAAAAATGAGGGTTCGCCTCTGCGACATTTATCGACTTTAGCGACAATCAGCAACATTTTGAGCAAATGTTTACAAAAAGTGTTTGCGAAAGGCAGTTGGCGACTATTAGCGACTGTAAAAGCAAATGTTAGCGACAGGTTTTTGCGAACATTAGTTACTATTTGCCAATCCTTTGCCATTATTTGTGAAGTAAACACATTTTTTCATGTCCACGTTTTAATTAAAAATTCTTCTCGACATTGCACTTTCATTAAAAAAAAAAAATCAAGGTATTAATACCTTTTCCATCAAGACTGTCAAG